GGAAATCCTAAGAAGCAGTAGACATTACCTTAAAATTTCTACTGGAGCAAAAGATGAAGACAGCAAAAATGCTGTTAAGTGAGCATCCCCTGACATATCAGCCCATGCAACTACATCTTTATTAAAAGGCCTGACTACAAACGGAAAACAAGTTTGAGCTACTGACACAAAATCAGCTTTTGAAAACAGATTACGAAAGTAAGGTCATGATATCCTATTTAAGAGCGGCAGCAGATTTAAGGTAAATAAGATGTTTTGAAATTATTTTTCCTTGCCTTTAATATCACTCTTTTTTTTTTTTTAAACTATTACTGCTAAATGTTTAAACGAGCATCCTGCTCACCTTGTCTAGCTTCCTCTTCCAGCAGGTCAGTGTGCAGTGCCAGGTACCTCTCCTCATCGCAGAGCGCCTCAATCCTGGCCTCTTCCTCTGACAGCTGGTAGGATGTATTCCATGACCCACTGTCATACTCTGAAAGGTCATGTAAGTGACCACGTCCATCATATCTGTTGGATGATAAAAAGGATTAGAGAAAAGGAAGTAGACAAAACTTTTCATACAGAACATGGGCCTACTTACCAAGGTTGTAAAACCTAAAACCCACAATATAAAAGATATAAAACTGGTCTACCTCTGTAAGTCCTCCATGAATGTTTTCTCAAAATGGATACGTCACAATAATGATACTAATTAAGTCTTTGGGAATTATTTTGGATAGAGCTCTGATATACCTAGCAAGTTTTCTGTCTGTATTTTCTTCCTGTTTTTACAGGCCAACAACATTAGAAATGAAAAAGAAAAAAAAAGACAAACAAAGCAACTCGCTTCTTACCTTACAGGGTTCAATAATCCCCTGTAACACTCATCATTACTTCTAAATCTGCAAAGAAAGTTACATTCACACAAACCCGAGCACATAAATACCTATCCGTAAGAACCCAAATGGACGACATTTTCCAAGGTTCGTCCCTCTACGCCATCTCTCACTTGCAGTTTCTTCATGAAGACAAAGAAATCTGGAGCTGAGGTTGGCATTCGGGGTTTGGAAGGACCCCTTAGCCTACCTTGCTGTGGAAAAACTGGGTTATGTAATAAAGACACACAAACAAAGGCTGTACAAATGAAACATAAGTTGGGTCTGAACACTAAGGTGATTCAATTGATTTAATATGTTTAAAGAAATACAAGACTCAAGGAGGTTTACAATGACTTTGCAACAAGGACAATTTCTATGTAAAAGGTGGAAAAAATTAGTCAAAATGATACACTGAATCACCTTAATGACAGTAACTTTTGTCTTTGCTAGAATTTGCTCTGGCAAACAAAAGCATAGTAAAATACCAAGTTTTGTAGGGACTTCACCACTTTATATTAGAAAACGTCCGTTTGAAAAGAACAGGAAAAAGACATGTTATAGCTTAGACATATTATTCACGTGTAAAGCATGAAAAAAGCTTCTAGAGGAAATTCTCATAACATGCCAAGATGCAAAGCCGATTTCACAGATAACTTGAGTATTTTTATATATTTACTGCAATTGCCAATTTAAGAGGTACATTTAGCGCGAACTATGCAGGCCTATGTAGTCTTAAACCAGTCTCAAATAAACTTTATTCAATCCATTTGTCCAATGTTCTCTTATAATGTAAGCTGGAGTGTATAACTTGACAGCAAAAAGCATAAATAGGTCAGTCATGGCTAACATTAGCAAAGACTGACAGGCATTTGCAAGTTAGCATGTTACCGAAGAAACTTTAGATGCCAGGTGTTTTTCTTTTCCCCCCAATTTTCTTTCTTTTTTAGTTCAGGACATCCAACAAGACACGTTAGGAGGCAAGAAATAAAACAATCGTCGCGAGTTGCAGGTGTTTCCAAGCTTCAACAAGCAACAACTCCAACGTGGTCCCTTGAATTTTGAGACAGGCTAGCGGACAGGAGAGATTGTTAGCATAATGTTTCGGTCTAAGTTTGTTCAACCGACCTATCAATCATGATGCTCTTGTCCCCCATCCATGGGATAAGATGCTTTCCGTGATCATGGTAAAGAGCCCTTTCGTCGTCTCGGAAGAGTTTGCAGGCATAGCCGAAAACCAACAGATCGGCGTATTTATCACTGTCACTCACATCCTTCTTCACCGGCTTGCTGTCTTTCTTTGCCGCTCCGCGACGATACATCTCCCAGATAGTCGAAGGAATAGATTAGCTTAAAGGACGTAACAACAATGACGGTATCGTGATAGCTTTTTGTTTACCAGGTGGCTACCAGGTCCTCCAAATGTTACATTAATCCGTGGGATTTTGCACCAAAACAAAACACTACACGCCAAGAGCCGCCATGTTGAAAAGTGAGTAAATGCATCTGTGTATCCGGTCGGCACTTACGACAATTTCACGAGAGCACAGTTAAAGTTTACACTAATGTTCAGTAAGTAAACGTCCTAATGTGTAGCTAAACATGTCCACTGTTATGTTATACTTTTTTGCTTTAAAGTACTCTGTATATAAACCACATTTTGTGGTTCACAAATTATCGAAAGTGCTACTGTGAAATACCCTATTATATTAAGCTTTTGTTCAACAGATAAATTCCTGTGTTCAAGGTAATTCAACAGTTAGTTACTTTAAATATATGGAAACAAAACATTTTATCATAATCTTAAAGTGGATTTGACAGCACAGCTGGATGTTTAAGATTTGTAATTATTCAGGCTGTTAATTATTTTTGATAAAGCTATTAAAATATATTAATTAAAAAATTTGAAAACTGTGTTGCAAGCCATGTGTTTTGGTGTTTAATGAATTTGGATTTGCATAACCTGATTAAATCACATGATGCTGAGTAGTTCAAGGATTTACTAGAGACATCTTTTACATATGAATTATGAGTGAGATGTCAAGCACTTTGTGATGAGAACAGGGACAATTCTAGGATCAGAGCTTTGGGGGTGCTGAGCACCCAGAGAGCTGCCCA